CTAAAAGTTTTACCCTCGTAAATTACCAAACTACCTAAACCTTGTACCTATTACTTACCCTGAAATTCAACCGTACTCAACCTTGTATAGTTAACCTTACCTGAATTACAACCATCAACTTGTATATTACTTCCTGAATTATAACTACCAACTTGCATATTACTTCCTGAATTACAACCATCAACTTGTATACTTCCTGAATTATAACTACCAACTTGTATATTACTTCCTAAATTACAACCATCAACTTGTATATTATTTCCTGAATTACAACTACCAACTTGTATATTACTTCCTGAATTACAACCATCAACTTGTATATTACTTCCTGAATTATAACTACCAACTTGCATATTACTTCCTGAATTATAACTACCAACTTGCATATTACTTCCTGAATTACAACTACCAACTTGTATATTACTTCCTGAATTACAACTACCAACTGGTACGTTACTTCCTGAATTATAACTATCAACTTGTATATTACTTCCTGATTTACAACTACCAACTTGTATGTTACTTCATAAAGACCCCCATATATAAAAAAAAAGGATTTTTTAAATGCTCAGCCATTTTAAGAAAAATAAGATACTTTTATAGTGTTTCAACAACTTCCTCTTGTTTATAGATACAGTCCACATTTTAACCTTTCCATTACCCATATTTGTTTACTTGTTTCAGATACTTGCACAAAGCTACATGAAGTAGTCTTCCTGAAATTTGAACTCAAAAACTGGAGGGAAGGAAGACAGTTAATAGTACCTACTACCAACTCTTTAATTAATTTTAAATATAACTCTGTTAAAAGTCCTGACATACACACTTTAACCTATCCATAGCAAGAGGGATAAAACAAAAAATGCTTTCAATTTCTTGATTCATTTTGCCAGTATGTGCCCTGCAAGTGTTACCATGTTGGCCCGGCATGGCCTGGCGGTTAGGGTGCTCGACTCACAATCTGCGAGTCGCAAATTCGAATCCCCGTCACATCAAACATGCTATTCGTTGGTAAAAGAGTAGCCCAAGAGTTGGCAGTTGGTGGTGATGACTAGCTGCCTTCCCTCTAGTCTTACACTGCTAAAGTAGGAATGGCTAACGCAGATAGCCCTCGTGTAGCTTTGCACGAAATTCAAAAACAAACAAGTTACCATGTGGCCAACATGGAAAATGATGAATTCGTTTTCTCTTCAAATCAAATCCTTACCTTAAAAAACACATAAAGGAAATAAGCTTTCCGTAATCACAGTTAAACCCAGAAAACTATAAATCAAAATATGTCAGCATAACATGCCAAAATTAACCAATTTCTGTCAGAAGCTATTTTTGTCAAAGCATGTTCACTCCCAAACTAAACATAAATAATAACACTAGAAAAAAGCTGAGAAATGAAGTAAAAATATATAAATATACAAATTAATAGTTTGTAGTTTTATTTATTGAAATTTTGAAGCTAAAAATTGCCAAACAGGCTCAGCAAACTGAACTGAAAGGGCTTCTTTGTCTATTACTTACTCCTTCCAGACACATAACCTGATTCATAGCAGTACAGTTTGTGATGAAAAACACTTGGACTATTGCTAAAATATTAGATTAGATAGTTAGTTGGAAAACTGGAGAATTAAGTGGAGTTGATTTAACACAAATAACTTCAATACTTTTATCTGTAATTGGGATTTATTAAACTTCAAGTAACCACATCTTTAGAAAGCTCTCACAATGTTCTATTATCTGACACTGTTTTCAAGGTAGCTTTAATACAAATTAAAATCCAGTGTTATATCTCGCACGTAAATGTTGAATTCAGTTGTTAAGTTATACTTCAAACATTTCTCACTTGCAGCAAATGAGTTAATGTTAACAAACTCAAGAATTGTCATGATCATCCTTTTTTCATGAAATTTATTTGATTTCTACTAAAAGCAGGTGCAATTAACTTACTTTTGCAGCCTGTCGAAGAACATCAACAATTGTCTGAAATTGAAAATAACTTCATCAGATCACAATAGAGAAAACATTTTCTCAAAACATTTGTATTATAAACCAGAAATAAATACATTTGTAGTATCTTAATTAAACATTAACACACTTTTTATATTTCTGTTAAACATAAACATGTACTTTTTATATTCTTGTTAAACACAAACAAGGTATTTTTACATCTTAATTAAACATAAACACAGACATTTTATGTTCTTGTTAAATGCAAACAAGGTATTTTTATACCTTAAACATAAACAAAGACTTTTTATATTCTTGTTAAACATCAACAAGGTATTTCTAGTATCTTAATTAAACATAAACACACTTTTTATATTTCTGTTAAACACAAACAAGTAATTTTTATATCTTAATTAAACATAAACAAGGACTTTTAATATTCTTGTTAAACATCAACAAGGTATTTTTATATCTTAATTAAACATAAACATGTACTTTTATATTCTTGTTAAACACAAACAAGGTATTTTTACATCTTAATTAAACATAAACACGGACATTTTAAGTTCTTGTTAAATGCAAACAAGGTATATTTTTATACCTTAAACACAGACAAGGACTTTTTATATTCTAGTTAAACACAGAGTATTTTCTATACTAAAAACAAATGTTTCTAGTGACCAAATTTAAATCTTTATTACATTTTTCATGCAACATTTTAAATGGCCCACCGTAAAAACCTTGAATCTCTGAAAATGGGGTGGTCACAAACAAAGGGTTAATTAAACCCAAACCTTATTTATAAAACTTCATTCAAAAGTCATAATATCTGAATAAATAAAGTAAACCAGAAACTGTTACAACTTTTTGAATACTGAAATAAAAGATAATCAGAATTCATAATTGAATTTTTTTTGTTTAAAGTCATTATGTAATAACAAGCATAACTCCAGTTGTGAATAAAACATGTAAAATATATAAAAAATATCATTTATCCAAAAGATACAAGAGAAAAAAAAAGGCGTTTACCTACAATACAAAAAGTAAGTAACATTCTTCTCTAAACATCTAGACATTTTACTTAAAATACCAATAAATATATAAAAAAACAGACCTTTGGAGACAACCCTGAATGGAGTTCTTTTATAGCTTGGAGACTCCACATGTAAGCCTGTGAAATTAAATGTTACTTTACTAAACGTATCACTTGCTATGGCTTTGTACTCATTGAAAATGTATACCACAACAAGTTTTTCATTACATCTGGTGTGCATGTAAAGAGGTAAAGGTAATGAATAATACATATTTTTCATAGTTCAAGTGTTTCAAGGAGTCAGTTTATCAAAGCATGCTGTTTTTTCTTACAGTCTTTTAAAGGGATAATTTTCTCATCTATTCTTTTGTGGTCATCGTTCGTACCATGTTGAAAGTGCCAGGTTTTCGTCTGATCCCTGAAGCAAAGCAACGTTGGGCCCGGTTAGTACTTGGGAATATAGTGTCGCGTGTGGGGTGAAAAGAAACAACTGTTTCTGAATGCCCTGGTTATCATTCATGTTTCTACAGGACCCGTAACCTTTAACTCTCTCATCACAGGCTCAGTCAACTTGACTGACCATGTGACCTCTTTGAACTTGTTGAAAGTCTTTAGAGATTTAATACTTCTAACTTTCAATATAGTACGTATATCTTCATGAAATTTGGCAGTCTTTCAGTTAATATTATAAGTCTTACACATACAAAAAAATCATATTTTTGAGTCAAGTATTTTTAATAAACTAAAATAAAGACTTGTCCATCAATATATTGAGTACTTGTTTTGAATAGTCTGTGTGCAAAGTAATTTTCAAGGTTAAGATCAAAAATACTTTTCTTCATCTCAAATTTCCTTTGTGTAATCCCTGAAAACCTCCTAAACACATTTCAAAAGTTTTTTTTTCCAGTAAAACTTTATATTTTATCCGTTATTTTGTCTACCCTATCTCTGTATGGGATCAGTCAATTTGACCAACCTCGTAACCTCAAAAAAAAATACAAAAATCTAAATTACCCTGTTTTTCTTTCTAGAATGACTTCAAATTCTAACATGAAACTAGATTCATTTGTCCATGTTTCCTCTCCACAAATTGTAACATGAAACTAGATTCATTTGTCCATGTTTCCTCTCCATACAGACTTTCTATGATTGTTGCTGCACTACGCTACTCTTATTTATACAAAAGTATCTTTTCACTGTGGTAAAAAAAAACTAAGTTGTACATCAACCTGAACCAAAGCTCAGATCGAAGAAAACTCTAGAGCTGTGATGATTTAGTTGTGTGAGACACTGGTGTTTTGTGTACGATTAGACATGAGGAAATGGGGTGAAAAATTGGTCATATGCATTACTCTGATAGTACGTACGTGTAATCACTTAATATTTCATACATTTAAAGTCGTAGTAATAATTCTGTAGATTTTCTTATTACGGGCTAGCTTACAACTGAAGATGAGAGATCTGTCTGTATCTATATATAATGTTTGTTTGTTTGTTTTTGCATTTCGCGCAAAGCTACACGAGAGCTAGCCATCCCTAATTTACCAGTGTAAGACTAGAGGGAAGGCAGCTAGTCATCACCACCCACCACCAACTCTTAGGCTACTCTTTTACTAATGAATAGTGGGATTGACCATCACATTATAACGCCCCACGGCTGAAAGGGCAAGCATGTTTGGTGTGATGGGGATTTGAACCCGCAGATTGCAAGTCGAGCTCCCTAACCACCTGGCCATGCCGGGCCCTATATAGAATGTACAATTTTAAACTACTTTTTTAATAAATGAATAATAAGTGCCGTAAGAAAATAAAACGCATAGAGTCTCCATAAATGATTAGTATATAATTCCTCTAAATAAAATTTGGAACAACACATTCAAATATTGACCATGAAATGAGAAATAATAATATTCAAATAATTTGATGTCAAAGGTTTAATCAAAGAGTTAAATTATTAAAGTAAGTAGAATTGCACCAGCACACTATAATAATATTGTGTAAAGAGCCAGACGAAACAGAAAGCATAACAGTTTTGTATAAGAAAAAGATACGATTACACCTGTCAAAGAAAGCTAACAATGTTTTCAAATGTGTCTGATGTCAAATAGATTCTTTTATATTTTTCCACCAAAAAAAATCTCCTGATAGTATTTAAATTTTTCTTTTCAGCTGTGGTTCAAAAACATTTGAAATAAAAACCTATCTTCAATGATTTGTTGATAAAAAAGTTTGGTAATGTAACAGTAATTTATAAGAATAATGATGATTTATTTAATTTTTTTCTTTAAAAATCAGGTTTAGTAGCATCTTCATATAGTAGTCTGATATAAAGTTTTATTTTTTTAAATAAGCTAACAAATAAATGTTTACACATTTTATTTATAAAACTGTTCTCCCTGTCAAACCTCAAATCAATCCAAAACACTGTAAAATTATTCTTTCATCAGACAAGTAAGTTGAAAGAAAACAAAATTAGATATAACTACCACAACTGTAAAAATCTTGCTGAGTCTAATTTTCAATTTTCCACGCAACACTTCAATAAAATAAACTTTATATATAATGGAAAATTTATCTCAAAATATCAGAGAAAACCTGTTTCTCCAAAATACCATAACAAATGCATACAAGATGTACACTTTTGTTTTCAAGTGGAAGTAACAGTCCTTTGTTTTGTCAGTAATATTCAAAGTGGAAGTAACAGTCCTTTGTTTTGTCAGTAATATTCAAAGTGGAAGTAACAGTCTCTTGTTTTGTCAGTAATATTCAAAATGGAAGTGACAGTCTCTTCTTTTGTCAGTAATATTCAAAGTAGAAGTAACAGTCCTTCGTTTTTCAGTAATATTCAAAGTGGAAGTAACAGCCCTTTGTTTTGTCAGTAATATTCAAAGTGGAAGTGACAGTCCTTTGTTTTTTCAGTAATATTCAAAGTGGAAGTGACAGTCCTTTGTTTTGTCAGTAATATTCAAAGTGGAAGTGACAGTCTCTTGTTTTGTCAGTAATATTCAAAGTGGAAGTGACAATCTTTTGTTTTATCAGTAATATTAAAAAAAAATTAGATACAACTACCACAACTGTAAAAATCTTTCTGTATCTAATTTTAATTTTTTCATTCAACACTTAAAAAAGTTGTAATTCTTCAAAGTTCAATAAAATAAACTTTAAATATTATGGGGAATTAATCTCAAAATATGAGAGAAAACCGGTTTCTCCAAAATACCATAACAAATGCATATAACACATAATTTTTTTTTTCCCAAGTTAAAATTTCCATACCATGCATTTCTGTTTTTACTTACTTCACTGTAATTACTGCAACAAAAAAAAGAACAGAAAACTGTGCATATATCCCTGCAAGGTTAACTGGTTGATCACTAGCCTTTAGTGCAAGAATGTATTTCTGGGCCTCAACATGAGTCTCTTCAGCTTCTTTAAATTTGCAGTATGTATTACGAACATGAAGTAGTCTACGAAGATGGAAAATTAAAGTAAATTTTGGTTAGGTCACTTCATATCCTTCTCAGATTGCACATTTTAAATCATTAAAATACAAACTTCATTCTTTGAGAAAAACAAGAAAAAAAACTTTAATTTATTGCAATAACAAAAGTATATAATTACATTTTTAAATAATTATCATATTTTTTTTGTAGATTTGTATCTGTACAGCCAATAATATGCATGCCCTATCAGCAAGTTAATCTTGATCAAGAAACTTTTCCACTGCTGGATTTTTTAGCCAAAAGTTACATTTGGTGTAGCATTTGATATAACATGTGCAAGTAAATGAATGACAATTGTAACATGTACACAGGTAACAACAGATCTTTTACTAACCCTGAAGGAAATGAACTTGATTTAATACATTACAGACACATTTATTCCTGAAGTGAACCTATAAGCTTACCGAAGATAAGCAGCCAAGGCCATAACCCAATGTTTTGTATCATCTTTCTCTTTACAAAGTTTTAAACATGATACAATGACTCTTTCACTCTCAGGAAACCAACCAGCATCACTCAGGAATCCTCCTGTAAAATATGGGGAAAAAATAAGCATATATCGCTACATACCTTGAGCTTCAATTGAAATATCTCTATTCTTATAGGAAAACAAAACCATACAATAAATCCAGTTGGTTTACCAATTACAGTGAGTGGAATTCAAGTACTAAGTAAAATTTTATTGTAACCTATAAAAGATATTTACTTATAATAAGGAAAGCTGTACATGTTAAGAATAAGAAATATTCATCGCAATATCTTTGATCTATAAGTAGGAAACTTTATTAACAAGTTATGTGAAAATTTCATTGAAAAATCAGAAGATAAAAAAAAATCTGATGTGTAATTAAAAAAAAGAAAAACATTACTTTTCTTAAGTTGCAACAAGTGAATTAGGTTAGAAATGTGCTAATTTACCAGATCAATCTTCTGAAGTTCCCGAGAATGTGCTAACTTACCAGATCAATCTTCTGAAGTTCCCAAGAATGTGCTAATTTACCAGATCAATCTTCTGAAGTTCCCGAGAATGTGCTAACTTACCAGATCAATCTTCTGAAGTTCCCGAGAATGTGCTAACTTACCAGATCAATCTTCTGAAGTTCCCAAGAATGTGCTAATTTACCAGATCAATCTTCTGAAGTTCTCGAGAATGTGCTAATTTACCAGATCAATCTACTGAAGTTCTCGAGTATGTGCTAATTTACCAGATCAATCTTCTGAAGTTCCCGAGACTACGAAATGAACTTCACTTGCGATTTAACTACCTTGTAATCCCAAACTTTTTCAATTTTCATAACTAAAATGTTTCATATATTTTTGGATAATCCAGTAAATAAATGTTCCCGTCACTGATGAAAGTAACTGTCTTACTTTATTTACATATAAATTATTCCACTGTGTAATGTAAAACTGGCTGAGTAGCCACATGCAAGTACAGTATTATCCTGCTTTATAAGCTAAGATAGAAAAAATACATGAGCATATTTACAAAGAAAAAATCTTGTCACTCAAAAACCAAACAATCCATTTTTAGAAGTAACTAACCTTCAAGATTTATATATTTACCTTTCAGTTCAATCAGAGAAAGGTTCCAATGATTATTACGAACTTCTGATTAAAAGATAAGACAGCTAGATCAGATATTCCATTAACAATAAATTAAAAAATAGCAGCTAGAAATACCTTAATATCATGAAGGAGATTTTAAATAATTGTGAAGTATTAGCATAACTAAACTTTTGGGGATTTTAACCCTTTGAGTGCATAACTGAGTGCTCGAAAAGTGTCAGTTATCTACTAAAACATAATATTTAAAATTTTACTTTCTCTAGTACTTTTTCAATATCAAAATACACTAAATGTGCTTTTGCTCTGTGTAGTAAGCACATGCCGTACTAAGGTGGAAAATTCAAGAACGTGCGAGTATCCCGATTGTCGTACTATGAGAAATGGTTTTTGCGATACCGTGTGGCAAATCCATTTGTTGCATCAAACAGCTAAAAGTGTCACATCAGATAAATCAGATTATAACATCCAAAGGGTTAAAATGTAACTATACAATACACGAAACCTGTAAGGAAAATTGTTTGAAAATTACACAACTTGGAATGAGAAAACATGTCACACAGACACTCTCACTAGTCTCTCACAGTTTTATTAACTTAATATTGTTTAACATCCTTTACACTTAATCAACAAAAACCAAAGTTTGAGGATGCTCCAGTTTTCTTTTTTTTTAAATATCTAAAAATTTAAAAATTATTGTTTTGAACTGCTTACTAGGAAAGCTCTCATGCAGTACTGGAGATTACACAGGTTTAAGTTATATTCAAACAAAAAATTAATATACTTAGTATTATTTTGAGGATTGATAAACAACACAAACCTAATGAAAGACCAAGTTTAATAGTGTTAAACCTTTGGTCTTCAGAGGCAGTGAGTGTAACAGCACAGCGCTGACTGTAAGCTTTTGCTAATTGGAAAGCTGTTTGGGCTCCATGATCCATTAAGACTTGGAAGCAATGATGAAGTAGGTGTCTATATAAGACAATATAGAAATAAGCTAGCCAGATCAGACAATCAAAGTAACATTACCAACAATATAATATACAACAAAACAATAGCAACATAACACAGGAAAGTTTTTAGTTCACCTCATATTCAATGATTGAAGCATAACACAGGAAAGTTTTTAGTTCACCTCATATTCAATGATTGAAGTTCATGTTTGTTCAACAATATAATATAATATACAACAAAACCATAGCAACATAACACAGGAAAGTTTTTAGTTCACCTCATAGTCAATGATTGAAGTTCATGTTTGTTCAATTTCTTTATGTTTTAACAATTGAACATGTAGTGGCAGTGTGCTCATCTTCCGGTTAAGAGCTGGTTTTATTAACTTAATAGCAAGATATTCTAGCATTCTAAGGTGGAATTATTCCCAAGAATGGAGAATGGCATGGAAGAAACTGAGGGTTGACATAAAATCAGACATTGTTTAGACAATGGTTTGCAATAATAATAGTGTTGTAGGTTTTAAATGTTATAGTACTTTTTTCTTTTAATACAAAGCCTTCTAGTGCCTGATGCAATGCATTCCTGGTTGCACCTCAGACCCTTGTGCAAACTATTCAATGGATGTTGTTTGTCTAAAACTGAAGAGCTCTTTGAAACTAGACTATTTTAAAAACAAGTTATAACTTTGCTTATGGTTATAGAGATTTGATAATTTTCTTCTTAGTCAAGCACAAAATAGTGCTTAAGTAGGGCATGACTAAAGTAAGTTTTCTTCAGAATGCCAAACATAACATCGGAGTGGATTATTCGAATTAGGAATGACAACGAAAAACAATTTATTTTAAGCATTTGTTTAATGTTCTCAACTTCTGCTTGAAAAAGGTTTTGATTTTCTGATATTTTAAATGCAAAAGTTTTAAAAACATCTTGATTTATACCATTTACATCGTCACTCTCAGCAAACACAAAGTTATAACTAAGATCACTGGTTTCACCTAGAAGTATATTTGTGGACAATGGCTCAATATCGTAACTAGCACAATATAAGCTGTATATGTTTTAACCCTTTCACTGAGTAATTAACTTTCAGGACAATTCCCAAAAAGTGTCAGTTATCCACCAAAAAATAAAAGTATCAATATGACGCTTTGTATTATTTTTTCAGTGTTTAAAGATGCTGTATTTTCTATATCTGACAGTAATATTCCTTGAAATCAAACTTCACAGTCATTGGTTATAAATGTTTATTTCCTATATCCGAACTATGCAGCAAAAGGATTAAGCTGTTGACAAATCCAAAACTATCCTTAACAGAATGCTCAACAAGTACAAACTCTTTTAAATACATGTTCAAAAAACTTGTTAATTATTGATTATAGGTGCCTATACTTGAAACAACTGGTCAAATTGGGCATCCCTGTTTGTGAACCTTAGGGAGTCCATATAAAATTCTACACTGTGAACCAGTTACATTTTCTTCAAATATTTTAACATAAAAACCTTCTTTCTTTATAATATAACTTTTTAAAATAGTTCAAACTGCAACCAACTATATTTAGTAGCAAACTATAAATCCCCTACATTTCATATATTTATTATGTAATTCAAAATATTTAACACACCTATTCAATATATATGCATGTGTCCTATCCGAGAGCAAAGATAACATCGACAAATTCTATTTTCAAACACCGACAGTACTTTAAAAATACTAATGTTGTTTTAAAATATTAAGGGCAATGATAACACCTGCTGGATTTATTTAATGAATTCTGTAGTTCCAAAACTGAGCCCAACACACCTTTCAAAACTAGAGATTCTGCCTATTAGATACTAGTTTAACACAGGTTGTCTGCTGTTCGTTCTAACATTTATTTTCAACATCTTCACAACCTAAACCTTCCCTTGCGTGAAATAGGATCATCTACTAATCTATCAATTGTATTGTAGTAAAGTTTATAAAATTAATCACAGACAACAAAGAATGGCAATATTGGCCACATGAGCACCTTATCATAAGTTTCATGTGATAACTGTGATTACTAATTAAAAACAAGGTTAGGTAAGATTCATTACTTTTGAATCCCATTCCCAAACTAAGATAGAGACTCAGATCAAATTATAAGAAACTGGATTTTTGGGTTATTCCATGTCAAATCACCCTAAATCTTCCCAAATGACAATCTCCAATTTCTATAAAATTTTGCCCATGTGTACATCTATGTAAATGATGACTGCATGCACAATTTCAATAAGAAATTTTAAATACTTACAAAATGATGGTCAACTGAACTGTTCTGAGTCTGCTGCCACAATAAAACATTAGCAAACACAAAACTTTAGGAAGCAAAATATGTTTTTTACATTTTCAAATTACTAAATAACTAAATTACAGATGTAGGCAAGGAATTGAAACATAAATAATTCAGTTATATCAGCACCAACAGCGTAATATATTAAAAACACTGGCCATTTCTCTTTAATCAGAGCCTCGTCATGTGCAGAGAGTGGGTGTGAACGAGTGCTATGTCCTTTTAGTTCAGGAACACTAATCGAACAAATGACATCCTGGAATGGCACTGACCATTGCAGGAGGCCAGGAGAGACTTAATGTGCTAGATCACTTCATGAAGTTGATAAACATATCACAGTGTACATCAGAGCATTCAACAATGCTTCTAATGTACCATTCCTTGTCATAAACACATGTCATATACATGCTTTTACTAAAAGTAATGACAGAAGTAGGGTAAAATACATAATTTTTCAAAACATTAGCATTGCTGACTTTTGTTTCAAATAAACCCACGAGACACCTATTCCACATCTTGTCTGGTCAAATCTGTTTTGTTTTTTACAAGTCTCAATCACCAATACATAAATAATAATCTGTGTACACCTGCATTTTACTTACTCAGTGTTCCTAAATTAGTTATATATACACTGTAAACACACATATATAAAAAAAGTTGTGAAATGTTGATAGAAAACAGATATAATGTATGCTTACCGCTTGCCTTTCATTGTGAGAAGTCGCTCAAATATTTCGAGGTGATAGAATTCAAATCCCAGCTGGCAAAGTAGACCTTGAGAATATAACTGCTCAAAACAGAAAAAAGTTCTTAAGAATAAAACAGCTTGCATAGTTTTTAAGATCTTTAAAAACATATCATACCCAAGAAAGAAAAGAGCAACAACTGCTTTATACAGTTACTATGATGTATTTCCCAAATTAGTCAGTCAAAATAGAAATGGGCTTGTGTATTTATTGCTTTTCATCAGTATTAACACGTAAAGTTTGGGAGCTTCATACGTCATTGGTTACTTTGTAAAGTTAACATTTTCCTTACCTGAAAATGTATTTCAAATAGATACCCACATCTGCCTACAGAACAGCTAGCTGTCTTTCTCAGCTCTTCTGTGCATTCTGCCAAAGAGATGTGCAAGCCACTGACCTTGTGACAACTTCCACCTAATCTCACATGAAATTTGTGCTACTGCACGATAACGTCATCATGCAGCAGAATCCTCAACCAATAGGAGTGTAACACACCTCCATGCACAATGACTCCTCCTACATTTTATGCTCATGAATCCTCATTCTTCAACAAGGCAATGAAGAAATGTGCACCAGAAAGTAAGGAAGATGGGAGAGGGGGAATGTGTGAAGAGGTGGGTATCTATCAGAAATACATTTTCAGGTAAGGAAACTGTTAACTTCCAAAATGAATACTCACCTCCTCACACACAATAGCTAAAATCCCCTGTTGCGATGGTGGAGGGACCAATGCAAAGATTACCTGGATAAGCTCCCTTCATGAAGCATCCAAAGGAAAACAATGGGGTGTGACACCCAATGGCAGGAGCACACCCATGGAAGACTGCATCTCATCCATATAAAAGAATGGAAGAGGAAAAGAAGCCATAATTATATTGCAAGGATATGCGGAATAGGTATGTGGCCACCCGAGCACTCACACATAAACTGTTGGACAGCCAATATGTGTAGTAAGGTAGGGACTTGTTTAGAGTGTACCTTGCGTGCTCATCTCCTTGACCATCAGACTCAACAGTTCAAAACCAGCTATGGGAGAAAGGCACTTGTAATAAATATCTGTGCTCACCCCCCTCTACTGTCAATCCCGGCTGTGGGAGGAGGGCACTGTAGGAAGACTTCTACTCAACTACCAATCACTACGGGCCCTTAACCTGCTGTGGGAGTAGGGTATATAAGTATACATCACTGGTATATAAGGTGTGTTCACCTCAACTCTACTATCAGTTGCTATGGGAGGAGGGCACCACATTATGATGATATAGTCTGACATGGATACATATACAAACCCACACCCGACTATCAGTATCTATGGGCCTCACGCTAGCTGCAGGAGTAGGGTATTTTGTTTTCTCAGTACGATGTGGAACGGACTGATAATAGAGTATTCTCTTTGACTCTACTGCACAGACTCTGGCTACAGAAGGACTTGTAGCATAAAAGTAGAGAAAGGACCAGTATAGTGAGTTGTATTATCAGTTCACTTGAAGATTGCGATTTACCATAGTTATATATGTAGGGTGACTCCACAATACACTCTGGTGTCATTCCAGCCCCACTTCTCACTGTAGAGAAACCCTTTGTTCTAGCCCAAGAAGTCAGATTCCAATTAATGAAGATTATCCTAGTCCACTGGTAAGTGGAAAGAGTTTCACATACTTCACTCAACAAGAAGGAGAGAGAATTCATGTTGGAGAGACCCAAATAATTTACCAGGATCCCCATCAGTCCTTCACTCCAGAAAGCTCATTTACTGGAGACAGTGCAATGGGTGGCCACGAAACCCTATTTTTAAAAACTGACAAGCGCTAGCCAGAGAGGTGGACAGAAACACTCCTCTGTTGTTGGCTTTTTTCATGATAATCCATAGAATAGGTACAGTCTGGATGGGACATAAAATATAATAAATATATATATGGAAAAATACCACAAGATAAACTTCAAGTGGTCTTGCAGAACACCCCATCTCACAGTGGGCACTTGTAGAATCAGGGTGAATGATTACAAACTAAGTTTGGCAACAATAAGTCTAACAGGTCATCAGTTGTAAGCAGATACACATACACATACTTTTATCAAATAATAGTTTAAATAAATGTTTATTTACACCATTTTTATGTAAAGGAGTCAAAGTAAAGACAATGTGCAAAGAAGTAACTGATCTCCATCATACACATTTATGTTCTATTTAGTCATTAAATTAATACCCATTGTTTATTATAATTCACATCTAATACTCCATAAACACCAATCTATTTCTATTATGGGATTTCATTATCTTTGACCACTATAAATTTAACCACTACAAACTTTCATTTGCCACTTGTAGTACAAGTAATTTCTATCAGAATTATGTATTTCTTTTCTTTGTTGCATTTTGCTTCAGGTCATACTTGTACTGTTATACGTACAACTACAAGTTAAACTGATAGTGTTGGGTAAAAATTTAAATACATTAGTTAATGTTCATTATCAATGATATTTGGAAAGTTTAATTTTGAAATTAGCTTTCAGTTTTACTCAGCAGACGAAGCCTTCAATTCCAGGCGTAAATTTTCCTTTCTAGTTAATTCTACTCTACATCGTTCATATACCTTGAAAGTTGAATATTAGTTATTACTAACGTACTCATGAGTCACAGTCACATTCTGAAATTTCATTCCATACGATAATATATATTAGCTTACTTTATAGTAAACATCAAACTGTAGGCTCTTTGGACATATACGGAGATCCTTCTGAAATATTCCATAATGTGACACGACTACAAAAATACATGAATTATAAAGAGAATCTGGAAACCAATTCAGAGCTGATGCCATTTTGATAAAGACCAAACCTCCTCAGGGCCTACTTACAAAAACAACCACCATAACCACGAAATAAATCGAAATATAAAAAAAAAAACGTGATTTATTAATGAATTATACACACACACACACACATATATATATAAATATATATATATTGAAAAAAATGCTATTCACCCAAAATCAAAACAGTGTACAACTACGAATTTTTATACACTAGTTAATATTTATTAATTGTTGCGGTAGTTGTTTTCAGTTTATCCCAAAGGGATAATAGAAATATATCTAACAAGCAATCTCTGACTCAATGGCAAACAACAACAACAAAAAAAGTTTATTTTAGTAGGCGGTGGGATATCCCATTAGATCTAGAATTCCAAAAGCCTAAGAATGAGGTACATGGCTGGATAGGGAATCATTTGCCGTACTGCTTTCTTTGGTCCAAGTAGTCGTTAAGGTATTTTTATCCTATCAAAGTGTACCATTCTGATGCTATAGTCAAGCTATTTCGCCATTATTTATGTACTTCTCTTATCCTTCTAGTATTCTTACACTTCACCCAGAAAAAGTCTTCGTATTCTTCATTCCTTACTTGATCTTATGTTGTTATTCTACTCTCATACCCATTTAAGAGCAGATCGTTGGATACATCCGTAAGTTTACAGCTCCTGTACGCAGGCCTACTTCTCTTTAGGCACTTGCAGCACCTTCTCCACCAAAGTTTCTCTGATTTTTTTAAATGGCTAACTTTTGAGTAACTGGTGTGCCATCGTGATCGCATCCATATCAGCTACATTTGCAATAAACACTCAGAAATTCTGGTTCATTGTCTCAGCAGTTCTTCACAGGTTTCGCAAAAAGTTGTGGAATGATAATTGTTCCATTGTCTACATTAGAGCGAAACAAATCATTCAGCTCTACTGACAAAAACCAATCATAACTTCTGTGGATGTTATCCACTTATGGATTAATGTAACACCTCCGAATTCCTCATCAAATGATGCATATTATTGTAAATTTTCAGAAAAGAAATTAAATGCCTCGTGTCATTCATACAAAGTGCTAAACCATTTCATAGATTGTAGATAAACTTATTATGTAAAAAATTAAAGTAAGTGTAAGTAAAAATGTCCAAATTTGTCCAATCTGATTTTTGCTTCTGACAGTAATATAAGTTTTAGGAAAATCAGTGAAATAAAAATTCAGCAACTTTGGATATCAGAGCGCTTTTTGTGTAAGTACCTGCAAT